GATAATCTCTGTGCTTTCTGACCCCCTCCCCAGCTTCCTTCTTTCCATTATTTGGTTCTTGCTTTCACCTGTGAGAGAAAACGTTCAACCCTTGATAGTCTACATCTGGTTTATTTCACTCAGTAAGATTTTCTCCATTTCCGGTGGATGGATTTTTTTTTAAATATTTCTTCTTGTATTTCCTACAAATAATTTATTATATTTTACTTTAGTTTTGGAAAGTCCTTTGATACTTTCTTTTTCTAGTGGGCAAGATAATTTTGCTTTTTTGAATAGCAGAACTATATTTGCAAAATTTTAAATCATTTTAATTATTTTTTTCCATATTCTGCTTCTTGTTTGCTTTTTTATTGAAATTTGGGTTTTGGCTTAGGGTCCAGGGGTCTAGATTTGATTAAAGAATCCAATTATGTGACCCTGGAAAAGCAATAAATTCAAATAGTCATAGTTCTGAGCTGGCGGTAGAATAGGTGGTATGCTAAAGGTTATCCCACTGAAATTATCAGATTTCTCTTAAAAACAAATCATATTCCTTTTGTCACTAAATATATAGGACTAAAGTATGAAAATAATACAAAGGATTTTGCCTCAAGCTTATTATGAAAGACAGAAAATTAATATATACAAGGCTTCAGAATCTATATATGGGCTGGTCACTGCCTACAATCCCAGGGACTCAGGAGGCCAAGGCAGGAGGACCGCAAGTTCAAAAGCAGCCTCAGCAACTTATTGAGGCCCTAAACAACTTAGTGAGACCCTTTCTCAAAATAAAAAATAAAAAGGGCCATGAATGTGGCTTAGTGGTTTAGTGGCTAAGCAACCTTGGGTTCAATCCATGTTGACAGGGGGCAGAAGAAATCTCAGAAAAAAATTGGAATAGAACCAAAAACTCTCTGAGACTTCTTTTAGTGCTTGCAAATTGGGGAAGCACAAGTTATATAGATAATTCCCAAAGCTAGCATTCTACATTCTGCTTTTACTAATGTACAGTTCTGCCCAAGAAAGCTTGGTGTGCTTGTTTAACAGAATGATGAGAATTAAATTTGGAGTTCCCTGAAGATTAAAGCTTGCTGACTAGGCTGCAGCTAGTGAACCTGGGAAGTGCATGTTCAGTCCTGTGCAGTGCTCCTGYCTTTACAGCAGGGCTTAATGAGAATCCAAGAGGCCCACTAATGAGCTCAGTCTTCACCATTAAAAACAAACCTTGGAGACTCCTACAGAATATGTATAGTTGGTTCCYCATGTCCATGGGCTCCTCACCCTCAGATTCAACCAATAGCAGGTCAAAAATATTTGASAGGGTGGGGGTTATGGCTCAGTRGTAGAGCGCTTGCCTAGCATGCRTGAGGCACTGGGACCAATCCCCGACAACACATAAAAATAAAAACAAATAAAGGTATGGTGTCCATCTACAACTAAAAAAATTTTTTTAAAAATTGAGAAAAAAATTGACTCAGTACTGAATAGGTACAGACTTTTTGTCATTATTTCCTAAACAATATAATATGATAACTATTTATACACCATATACATTGTATAAGTATTAAAGTCATCTAGAGATGATTTAAATGATATAGGAGGGTTGCATAGGTTATTTGAAAACACTACATTGTGTGTTTTTTTTTGGGGGGGTGGAGTGGGGTATTAACTAGGGATTTAACCCAGAGGTGCTTAAACACTGAGCCACATCCCCAGTCCTTTTTATTTTATGTTGAGACAGGTTTTTGTTAAATTACTTTGGGCCTCACTAAGTTACTAAGGCTGGATTTGAACTTATGATCCTCCTACCTCAGACTCTATTTTATATAAGGCATTTGAGCATCTGAGGGTTTTAATATTCATGAGGAGTTGTGGAACCAACTTCTAAGGATACTGACTTCTCCTCTTATATAAGAGTAAAGTTGGATTTCCATCTGCAAGAATGGTCTGTGTTCACAGTGTATTACATGGGAACACAGACATTATCTTATGTCCCCATAAATTATTCTAGAATCTGTTATACATGGAATTGTGCCTGTTTTTTTTTTGTTTTGTTCTGTTTTTGTTTTTGTTTTTTGTTTTTTTGCTTAGCCCATTCACGCCTGGTTGCAGTCTATCAGCAGCTTGGTGTTATGATTGATGGGTGGTATTCCATTGTATGGAGACTCCACAGTTTGGTCATGTTTTCATCTGTTGGTGACAATTGAGTCTGTTCCCAGTTTTTAGTGATTGTGAACAAAGCTGCTATGAATATTCATGTAAATACCTTCATATGGCCATGTTTTAATTTCTCTTGCATAAATACTTAGGAGTATATTTGATAGTCCTAATATAGGTGAATTCTTAACATTTTATAAATAAGGAAACAGTTGAAACAAGGAAGCAGAACTAGGCAATCCTCAGCTTGGTGAAGTCAGATAAGTGAGTATTGGGTAATGGATCACTCAACTCTTGTGGATTTGATAGGGACAAATAGTCTGGTGAAAGCAGGAGGAGRACTGGCCACAGGTTGGAAATCTAGGTTGACATTTCTGTTTGCTTATGCTCAGTTACGAGGAAAATATGTTATTTCTTTAGCTTGATTCCTTTATTATACAAATAAAGTTGGATTTTCCATCTGAAAGTCTGATACAACTTTAGTGCTCTATGATCACAGTGATCCATATGGGGGTATAGACATGAWCATATTCTCACATTTCCAAGATTAATCAACCAATGTCCCCTGAAYCTCCTCAGAACTTTTAACTGCAGATGTAGAAACTGTTGGTTCTTCATCGAATACGCATTTCATCTGGGAGTTGATTGGATCATCAATGTTCAGAGTCTCAGCATCACTTTTATCCATGCTAATTTGTTTTCTCTGGCAGATCCATGTTGACAGGGCTCTACCCTCCCACTTCTGGGGCCATCATCATCAATGGCAAGAATCTGCAGACAGACTTGTCCAGGGTCAGGATGGAGCTRGGGGTGTGTCCGCAGCAGGACGTCCTATTTGCCAATCTCACCGTCCGGGAACATCTCCTACTCTTTGCTTCCATAAAGGCACCAGGGTGGACCCAGAAGGAGCTACAGCAGCAAGTCAACAAGTTAGTAAACAGTAGTCTCTTCACTCCTCCTGTCCTTGCCTAGTTCTGTAAGTGAAAAGTGTAGAAAGAGACACGTTAAAAAATCAGCTATGCCTGTGTTTGTGGGAGGAAGACATTTAGCAAATGGTTCTCAACCATAGAATTAAGATACCCACGAATACTGGKAATATCAGGGAGGGCTTTCCAGGGAAGGCACTGCATTTGATCTGTTATGTCTTTGAAGTGGGGAAGAGCTGAGCAAATGTGGGAAAGTGTGGATAAGCTGCTGGAGGAATTTTATGTGTCTGGAGCTAAGGGTTCCCAGGGGTGTCCTAAAATAAAAATAACACAAAAGCAAGCAAGAGAACTGGTTGTAAAGAACCGTGTTAGTCACAGCAAGGAGTTAGAACTGTATAGTGCACTTACAGGTGTTAAAGAGCAGGGGATTGTGCTTGGCTTCAGATCTGGAAGGTAGGTCTTGCTACACTATAGCAAATGCCACGGTCAYGGGGGAGACCACCAGTACAGATGGAAGGAGCACTGATAGTACATCTGAGACCAGGCRCAAGAACGTAAATCACACTGTCACAGGCCACCGCAAACTGAGGAAAATAACCTGGGTTGGATCAAAGAGGATTGTGGAGCATGGACCRAAAGATGGGGTTCTTAGGCAGCTATGACAGAGATCCAGGGAAGAGAAGGTGGTGGATTGGGTTGGTGGTAAAACATAAGCTTTGCAGAAGTGAGCAGAAGGAATTTGAGGAAGGGAAGGCTGGTGGGATCCCCTAGCATGTCTTTGAAGGGAAGTGCTAAAGAGGTGATCTGTGCTGAGTGTGACCACAGGTGTGGTGTCATAGCAGTGTCTCTTCCCTGGGAGGCAGGGAGGGCTGTCTCCAGTTTATAGATGAGGAAACTGAAGGTCAGGGTGATCGGGCCATGCAGTTCATACAGGCAACGTGGGTATGACCAAGACTCTYGGATGCCAGGTGCATTCTGCTGCCTTTCCTTTGGGATGGTTTCTCGGCTGTAGTATGAGAGATGGGGGCCTCTGGAGAAGTGCCAGGTAAGGGAAAGGGTATTCTCCAGCACATTTCTGGTGGTGTTCCCTTGACTCAGAATGGATATTTCTTAGTAAGTTCCAGTGGTTTGGGAAATGAAGATGATTTGTTAGTGATTATAGAACAGCACTGGAAGGTGGCAAACTGCTTYTCCAGAAATACTTTGCTGTACTAGTTTTAACTTAACCAGTGCTTAACCACCGAGCCACATCCCTAGCCCTAGCCCTTTTTATGTTTTTAAATTTTGAGATAGAGTCTTGCTAAATTGCTTAGGGCTTTTCCTCCTGCCTCAGCCTCCTGARCCACTGGGATTACAGGTGTGTGCCACCATGTCTGGCCCTTTTCCCCTCTTAAAATTCACCTTGTTGGCACATGAGGAAGGCATTCTCTACTGTACAGTGGGCTCGTTCATACCTATGATGTCTTCAGAAAGTGAGTACGAATAGTTATAGTGTAAATGACAATGCACTCTTGAATGTACAGGAAAAAAATGTTCACTTTTTACTATGTAAGCCTGTCTTAAATTTGAGTATACACTTAATAAGAAATGACTAGACATTGTATGGTCTACATATTACAAAATAACAAATTGGTTACGTGCAACCAAATTTCTTATATTAAAAGTCACAGGTCACTTATTTTAATTTAAAATATTGTGTCTACCCTGGGCTATAGTAAACTCTACAGTGATCATGATTGGCRGTTTAAATCATGCACCTAACAATGCTACATTGGCTTCATCTTATTTGGGTACCAGGCAACCTTAATGGTTATCAATGCACAGCATGTTACCTGGCAACAAAGCCAATTTTGCAAATGCAATCAGAATGAGATCATGTTCTAGGACAGTAGTTCTCAATTAGAGGGAGGGAAAACTGAAAACATTGGATTTAGAGCCAACATGCTCCTTATTAGTGTCCTGTAGCACCCCTTGTTTTCCATAATGTCTAGCTTAATTAAAATGTGAGCTCAAGAGAGTGGCATCCCTCGAAGAAGCTTTAGAGTGAATGTTTGTCAAGAGATATGTTGTTAATTTTTTTGGCCTTTATTTTGGCCTGGAGAAGATGAATAGTCAAGAGAGGAACATGTGAGGGTTTTGAATCAATGAGATGTTATATGGTTAATGTTACCCTTTAGAGTTCTGGCCTACACTGTGGAACTCAGGTTGGAGGTAGTAACAAGATCAATGAGGGCATATGTGCAAGTAGAGCAAAGAGAGGACACATTGTCACTGTGTCCAGAGCAGAGCCTGGACACACTGATACAGTCATGGACAGTTGAGGAGGAACAAGTTAAAAAAGCAAGAGAAACCAAGAAAGAAGGAGGAAGAAAAAAGAGTGGACCAGGCCCATTGAGGAGGAGGAAGATCAGTGCATCAGTGCTGTTGCAGGCCAAGTACTAGGAAGACTGAGAAGTGACCTTTGGGCTAGTATGCAGATGTCTTTGGTAACCTTCAGAAAAGCGATGTCAGTAATGTGCTAGGGGTGAAAATCTTACTCAAGTCAATTAAAGAGAAAAGAGAAGGAGAAAATTGGGGAGAAAGTTGGTAACAATACAAAAGTTGGTAAAAATTTTCCCAGGAATTTTTCGGCAAAAGGGAGAAAATAAATGGGATGGTACCAGAATGGAAAATTGAGGTCAAAAAAAGGATGCTTCAAAGACACAACTCACAGTAACATATCTGTACATTGCTGAGAGTGGTTCAGCAGAGAATGGGTGATTTGGATGCACTAGAGGCTTGGTGGAACACTGCCTATAGAGGACAGGGGAAAGGTCCTAGAAGAAGAGCTGGCAGTTGGCTCTCCTGCAAGCACAGTTGGTTCAGGTAAGTTAGCAGGAGGTAAAGGGAACCTGTATTTAGCTTCAACATTTTTCAGGGTTAAGGGTGCATGCAAAGAAGTTATTATATTGATGGCCATGGACTTAGAAACTTGGAAGTGAGGGGAGGAAGGACCTTAAACGAAGAGGAAAAATGAAAAATTGATTTTTGGTGGAGTAAGTCATTGCTGAGTAGAGAGAGGGGTTTTAAATATACATGTGATCAGAAAAGAATTCACAGAATTGAGACACTGGAGGAACTATGGTAGCTGGAAAGACAAGGTCTAGGGTCTACCTTGGTCGTGAGTCATTGGGACTGGTGAAGGTGAATGGAGAATGCTCTTCACTAGATTGAAAGTTCCCACAATGCGTGGGGCTTTACTATTACCTTTCTCATATTTTACTATACTTTCTTATATTTCTTCACATATATTTTTTAAAACTATAAATAAGATTCAATTCGTTTCTCTAGCCAAGTAGATGGCAGGCACCACACATTGTAGGGGTTTAGTAAACATTTGCGGAATAAATGAACGGATGCCTGAAGTGAAACCTCTGAAACAGGGTCTCCACTAGATAATATGAGAGAAAGTCCTTTCCTTATTTTCCTGCTGTTTAGCATATTCTCAATTAGAGAGTTTTCATGTTCTTTTGAGAAGGAAATTTGAAATTTAATTTAGCAAAATAAGGGAAAGAAGGCAATGGGGGAGGGGATCAGATATCATTAAGATATAGGGAAGATCAGTGGAATCCATGTAAGAGAATGAGAGGGAGGAAGGAAGGGAAAGGGGAGGATAAATGGAATGAATTTAATAAAATCACATTATATTAATAAAAATAAATAAATAAATAAATTTGCAGGAAGTATTTGCTTCTTTTTGGTATGTGACTGATCAATAATTTAAAAAAAAAATACTAGCCACTCTATGACCTTGGATTTTTTAAGAAAAATTATCAAGTAAAAATATGACCAGTGTTTGCAGATTGTTTTCTGCTTGTGTTAATCAGCTTTTCATTGCTGTAGATAAAGTATCTGACAAGAACAACTTAAAAGAGAAAATATTTATTTTGGCTTATAATTTCAGAGGCCTCAGTACATGGTAGAGCCACTGAATGGTTCTGGGCCCAGAACAATGCAGTTGGTCAACCAATTGTGAAGCAGAACATCATGGCGGAAGGGCATGGCAGTGGGAAAGGAGGAAAAACAGAGAAAGGGAACAGGGAAAGATATACTTCCCAAGGCAATGCTACTAGTGACCTACCTCCTCCAGCCACACCCTACTTGCCTTTAGTTACCCTTGTTAATCCATTCAAATCATTAATCCACCAGATGATTAATCGGATGAGATTATAACCCTTACTCTCCAGTCATGTCCTAACTACCCTCCCCTTGAACCTTGCTATTTTGGGTACCATGCTTTCAACACATGAACTTTCTTGAGGACATTGCAGATCCAAACCATAATATTTCTCTAATCTTTAAATTTAATCAAAGTAGCTGAACCACAATCAGAAACCAATGAAATGGAAATGGCTCCTGAGGCAATGTTTTAGTCTCTCCAGACAATACCTTGTGACTTAAAGTCCTAGAAATGTATCCTTTCCTGGAGAACAAGTCAAGTCATTAGACCTCCGTTGATGTTAATGGATATACCATGGGTACAAATTAAGTCATCAGGCTCCATACTTTGTTCTGGGAAAATAAGCATAATATCCTTGGGAAAGGACTATAGTCCATATGGAGAGTGGGGATCATTAACAGCTATGTCTGATGGGTGTCACAGTGACCCAGTGGATGCCAGTAGGCTATAATGGCATAGTCTGGCTTTAGATTGCTAGGTTTAAATCCAGCTCTGCCATTTGCTTAGAAATCTGTTTGCAATATATACTCTCTCTACCTTTGGTTTCCCAAATATTATAGGGTTCCAACAATAGAACCTTTTTGGAAAGTTGTGTAGAATATATTTATTTATAAGCACAAAGCAGTTAAAACAAAACCTGGCATAGAATGCATGTGTAATAAATGTTAATTATGATTAACCAGGATAAGTGCTAAAAGTTTTTAACATTTAAAAAGTTATAATTTTATAAATTGAATAAATGACATTCCTCAAACCCATGATTAAATTCTACTACACTTTGATGTGAATAGAAACTTGTACTTCAAGCTGGACTTCTCAAGACCAATAACTCACAGTCTCTTGTGGGTTACCCATAGCACTGTGTTTCTTCTCCTTGTATTCTAGTTGGGTGTGTATATATGATGTCTTCATAGGATGCTGATCTCCTAGAGAAGGAATTATGCTTTGTTGCTGCCCCTATCCCCAAATGTACATCATAAACACCCAGCACCTGTAGATAGCATTGTGCAATCTTGAAAGAATTTGCAAAATGCACACAAATAAAATAGACTCATACTTATTCTCTCTACCTCATTGTTACTGTCTATTACTCTTGGTTTTACCAATTAAGAAAAAAATGATGAGTAATTTTGACCATAAAATATTTTAATATGTTAAAGTTCAAAATGTATTGGAAAAGCAGATTTCCATCAAAAACAAGCAAATTCACAGAGTAAAACAGACTGATGCTAGCCAGTTGCCTAAGGGATAAGAGAAAGCAAACCTCAGCCTGTTTGGATGCATTTCATTACAGAAGCACAGTGCCATCACTTAACACCTTGCCTGGCACCTGTGCAGGGAATGTGCTGTGATAGACCCACAGGTAGAGGTTAGAGTGTCTCAGAGTCAAAACCACTTCTGAATCACAAGGCCAAGAATAATGAGAAGGTGGGATTTCGGCCTGTTTGGAGTGTAAAGTGAGGCAGCACTGTAGGTCTGCCCAAAAAGGTAGTATAGGCATTCTGAGCTGTGTCAATTAAAAAAAGGGGGAGTGGTTTAATGTAGAAATATAATCAGAAGATGCATGTTTGAGAATATTTGACAATTTATTGACATATTTTCTTGTCTGTCTTCTCTACTGACTGATCTCTGATTACTGGTCCAGACCGAGCTTGGGAGAGTCACATCCACTGCTGTATTGGAATCACCCAGATGGGAACATGTTGGTAGACTATAGGGTCCATCAGTTTCCTGCTGAAACTGAACCATTCATCTTCCTGTTTCTAACTTGGATGTTGTCAACAGTGGGTAACACAGAAAGCAGGTGCATATGTTACTGCCAAAAGTTTAGGTTGAGATTTAACCAGCAGAAAGTACACTCTGAACTTGAACTAAATATAAAATGCATAGACTGAAAACTCGACACTAAGAAGCTAGCTATAGCTCTTTCTGTGTTAGGATAGAAAATATATAAATAATAAAGCAGACATGAAAAATTTCCTTAGTCATCAGGCAAGCAAGTTCTTGGGAYTCACTCAGTGCTTTGCTTAGTATTCTGGAAGGTTTCCAAACCCGACTCTTRCTGAATCTCAAGATTATGTGGAACCTCTGTGATTCTACATTGCCCGTGTAGTCTGACAGTCTCCCTGAGTTCAGAGAGGCCCTTCAGTTGTTGGCTATCAGGGAGTGATAAGAAGCCCTGAAGCTTAGGGTATCAGACCCACTTGGTTTGAATGTCCAGGAGAAGGTTTCAGGGAGGCATGATTTAAGCTGGGTCTTGAACAAGGAGTGAGACTTCAATCAGGTGATGAGGTAGGAGTAGGTCTCTTCCTGTGGACTTAACAGAGTATAATGATGGTAAGGAGTGGCAGTTATTTGTGAGAAAAGATGGTGGAACCATAGACATGGAGGATAAAGCTTCACCCAGGGAAGTCTTTGGGATAGGTATCTGAAATTTTCTGGAACTCTCAAGAATGAAAAATCCCTGAGAGAATAAGAGGCTTATTTTTATATTAATGGAAATTGAGGATTTATATTTTGTAAAAGTGGCTTGTCCTTGGGACTTCCTAATTATTTAGGAAATCAGGGAGATACAATTTGAGTACCTAGTGGTCCAGAGAATTAAAGGCCTTGTCAAGTGAGCTCTGGAGCTCTTCTTCTTCTGACCACACTGATGCTTCAACCATTCGACCATATTGAGGGGATGTTGGTCTCCCCTTGGCAGGATATCTGAATGAAATGGAGAGGCTTCTCCAGGGAGGAGACAAAGTATTTTATAGTCACCTTACTTGGCAGACACTGTTGACCAGCATCACACTTAACAAAGGGGTGTGGTGTCATCTGCCCATGTGGAAGGACAATGCTACTCTGTAAAGACTCCTATGCACATGTATCATCCAAGCCTTTTTGATGTACCTGTGTTCTATAAATATCTCAGTCACCATAGTCTCCTAGGTGGAGTGGAATTCAGAGCAAAACTTTCAAGTGTTGGAGAGAAGAGTGAAGCCTTTCTTCTTGTTTCAGAACTCTCAAGGATGTGGGGCTAGTTCAGCATCAGCACAAACAAACCCAAACTCTCTCTGGAGGCCTGAAGAGGAAGCTCTCAATTGGCATTGCTTTCATGGGCACATCGAGGACAGTGGTTCTGGATGAACCTACAAGTGGGGTGGACCCTTGCTCCCGGCGCAGCCTCTGGGACATTCTGCTCAAGTACCGGGAAGGTAGGACCTGAGCCTTGTTCCACTTTGTCTCCCCACAATGTTGTGGCACAGAGAAAGAATAGCTATTATATGTGAGAATCAAGTCACTGCACAATAACAATGTATCTTTTTTTGGGGGGGTAGGTACTGAGGATTGAACCCAGGAGTACTGAATCACTGAGCCACATCCCCAGCCCTTTTAAAATATTTTATTTAGAGACAGGGTCTCGCTGAGTTGCTTAGGGCCTTGCTAAGTTGCTGAGGCTGGCTTTGAACTTGCAATCCTACTGCCTCATCCTCTGGAGCTGCTGAGATTACACGTGTTCACCACCATGCCCAGCCACAATAAGGATGTCTTATTCTTTCTGGAACAAATAAAATCTTCAGATGATTTTAAGATATRTTTGATGGTAGCTCTGTAGTACTCAGAATACTTACTTTGTAATTTGTCCTCTCAGTATTAGCAATGCAACTTGCAATGAGCGTTATCATACATGATTTCAGTTAAAATTGTCTTTATCCATATTTTATTTCACTGTGGATGCACGGGTGATTAAAGAAGACATTAAAACTGTCCTGTGTGGGTCTTCTGAGGCTGTGGAAAATACCTGAGATGATCTATACAAGGGGCAAAGATCTATCTGGCCTTATGGTTTCAGAGGTTTCTGTCCATGGTTGGTTGGCTCTATTTCTTTGGGCCTATTATAGTACAGTTCCTCATGGTGGGAGCATGTGGTGAAGCAAGATGTTTTACCATGTGGCTAAAAAGCAATGAGGGAGACATGAAGGGACCAGGGCCCTGATGTCCCCTTCAGGAGAATGTTCCCAGGGACCCAACTTCCTTCCACCAGGTGCCATCTCCCACAGATTTTACCACCTCCCAATAATGGCACAGACTGGGGACTAAGACTTTAACACATGGGCCTTTGGGGGACATTTAAGATACAAACCTTAGCACTTGCTTTTCTTTCTTTTTTAAAAAAAAAATGTTATTAGTTATTCATAGACTTTCAYTTATTTATTTGTTTATATGTGGTGCTGAGAATCAAACCCAGTGCCTCACACATGCCAGGCAAGTGCTCTACCACTGAGCCACAACTCCAGCCCCACACCTTCTTTTCTCAGATGAGGAAACTGAGGTATGAAAAGTTGGGCATGTGAAGGGCTCACAAATAGGGAGAAAATTCACTGCATGAAAGGGGAAACTCATGTTACTGACTTAGAGGGTCCATGTTTCTCATCTCCATTATTTCTTATTTTCAGTGGAGAGCTTTGGATGGGTAGTTACTAATGTCCAACTTCTGGTTCTTTGTGTAGCCCTGACATCTCGGAAGCATTGCTACAGTATTTTGTGTAGAAACATTCTTGTTTGGAAAGAAACATGGGCAATAGTGAAACATATCTTGGTGCTAGGGAATAAGTTTAGAAGCTTCAGAAGCAAGATTAATACATGATCTTACACACTGTCTTTTTAAATTTTTGCTTTCGTTTTTTTGAGCATGATATCTTCCTCAGTCTTGGCCTGAATCCTGGGGGATTGGTTACTGAAGGAAAATAAAAAGCAATGATAAGAAAGGACCTTTCTTTTTTTTCTCCTTTTTTCTTGTTTTTTAACCATCCAGAACCAAAGAGGCTCAGAATATTGAATTCTGTCTTAGAATAGAAGCTCCAGTCTATCACTTATGGCCTGGCATAGGGTGAGATGAGAAGGGAGAAGGGTAATTCAAATGGGGCATAAAGGAATTATCCTGTTCCTGTCCCACAATTTTAGGGGAAATTTAGAAAGAGAGGACAGAGAAGGGATCAGGGATAACAAGCAAACAAATGTGGCTTCCCCCCCCCCCCATTCTAGGCTTGGGCTTGGGCTTGGGCTGGACAATTCATGAAAAAGTGTGTCCCACGTGGCTCCTCAATCTGGGTGAAGCCACATCAAAGTTCATGAGACTGAGTGGAATGCTGGKACCCAGGGGCGTATTCTCACACCCATGGGCTTCCATACTGAGGAGAGCTTGCTAAAGATGCCTCCATGGAAGAGTGGTGTAGGGGGTGGACTTGAAGCTGGCTGGCTGGAAGTCTGGGTTAGAGTTAGGGATGTGAAGCCAGTAGGATCTAGTCAAGGTGGAAAGAGCCCAGGAGCACTCTGTACTTTGAGACCCGACCCTTTTGGGTTGCTGCTCAACCCACAGACACTAAGACAGGGAGGGGGACAGCAACAGGTGGTCTCCCAGAGACCAGAGGAGGCTGACCACATTGCATGCAAAGATCCCAATCCATTGCAAAGGCTTCTTGTTCCATTTGCCTAAATGGGCTTTGGGGATAAATGTAAAGGGCAGAAATGAGGAAATGTGAACTTTTTGTGCAAGTCACAGAATGTCACTTAGAGAAACTGATTACATTTTGAGATGACTCTAATTTAGATTGGTAATAACAATTTCCCTGTCAYTGTAAGTGTGGACTGATACATAAGAAGGATGAGAGATAGACAAGAAGATTACACTGYCTCTGCACTGTGACTTGTTGTGCAAATGAAATACCAAAACCTCACTACTCTTGTTTATTTTAAAAATCAGAGATGGATGCTTAAAGGTTTAGCTGACAGAACATTTTAGTAGTGAACGAAAGGTTACTTTAGACAGAAAACCAGATACAGTGTAAGTCTAGAAGACAGATTTCTTCAAATTCTTTTGTTATAAATTAGATATTATTTTCTCACTTTTTTTTTGTCTTTGGAAGACTTCTTTGGAATTGTCCTTGTATTGATTGAAGTGCAAAACCAATAGGGTCTAAGATTARTTAGTTAGGTTGATTAGTTAGGCAGTTACTGATAGAAAAATACATTTTCAAAAATCAAAATGTATAACCATTTCTAGAAACAGCCCCAAACCTTCAGGTAACTGATAAGAGCTCTGTGAGATTGATCCAACACTGCACAAAAATGAATGGTACCTGCTGAGTAGGAAGAGATTYTTCCATCAGAACACCAGTACACTGGGAGTTCAATCTATGGGGAATTTCACGTGTGTATTTCCTACTTAGTYGGGAACAATGTGAACTCTTGATCAGCCCTGGTGCCATTGCTTTTGTGCTTCTCGTATAAAGATCCATTAAGAAGCAAAGGATACCAGAACAGATTGGCATATCACAACTAAATCCTTGTACTGGATTTGATACTTGGTCCTTATATGCTATATGATCCTGGAAAAAATGRTCAGATTCCTCTGAGCTTCAGTTATCTAATTTGCAAATTGAGACACTTATATCATCACATAGGATTTTGCAAGAAGTAAATGTGCAATATGTCAAAGTGCATAACTCAGTACCTACTATGTGGGTACTGGATCCATGACAGGCTGTCATTGTTATTATTAAAATAGATGATAGAAAGTAAATGTGGGAATTACAGGTTTTGGAAGAAAAGARGTAGAGTATGTCATCTAAATTAGGGAGAGAAACAATGAAAGAGTCTCTTGGGGGAAAACAGAGTATTAATATTGTCCTTTGAGATTTAGGGTTTTTCTCAAGTTGCCCTAACAGCAGTAARGGACCATCATGGCTCAAACATCTGTGACTGTTTTAAGTTCATTGAAAATTTATCTGTTATTTATTTACAATCCCAGCTTTACTAAGGTATATATGACAATGCAGATTGTATGTTTCTGTTGTATACAGCATAATGTTTTCATAAATGCATATATCATGAAGTAATTATGTCAAGCTAATTAACAGGTCTGTTGCCTCATAAACTTTTAGTGTGTGTGTGTGTGTGTGTGTGTGTGTGTGTGTGTGTGTGTTGAGAACATTTAAGTTCTAATTTCATGTATACAATGCATTATTATTAACCATAGTCATCGTGCTGTGCAATAGATCTCCAGAATTCATTCGTCTTGCATAATTGAAACTTTATACCTTTAGCCAAATCTTCCTGTTCCTCTTTCCATCTCTTCAGCCCCTAGCAACCACCATTCTACTTTCTCTTTCTCATTTGGAAATTTAGATTCCAGTGGACTTCTATTTTTAGACTACCTCATTGTATGGGAATATATCTGAACTGCATGATACCTATAATCAAAGAAACTAACCTGCCTCTGATCCCAGGCCAGGAGTCGAGCACAGTTTCTTAGCATCAAAGRACTTAGGGGCAAAGAAATGGTCCCTGGTCTTTAGAACACATCTATAGCAAGAGCTAGTCCCCATGGGTCCTCCTCCCTGCTGTTCTTGGGTCTATATTTCGTGCTTTCTTTAAAGATGGATTTTATAAAATGAATTAGAGGCATAGTCTTTTAATCCTTCCTCTCTATTGAAAAATATAAAATCAAATAGGGTTAAAAACATCTTCAGCCTTATCKCTTTGAAAGTTTGCTTTTGCAATCAGAATGAATCAATACATTTGTTCTACTTGATAGAACAGTTCGATGGGGCTCAATGTAAGCCAATGAGGGAAGTAGAAACTAAAAGTCAGAACAGCTTCTCTTTATGTTACTGAAATAAACTTTACCTTTAGCTTCCCTGGTCTCTGCTCTTCTGAGGAAAGCTGGTACCTTTTTCTCCCAAGGAAAGGTAGTAAAATTTTACAAGATGCTAGAACTCATGGAGGATACATGTGAGCTAAGCATTGAAACAGTGTCCCTGTCTGGGCAGTCAGGATGGTTTCACCTTCTGAGAAGACCCAGATGAATGAGTCCACATGGTTCTGTCATCCCTGATCCCTAAAGGTACCCATATATGCCAGGACAATTTAGACAGTCATTTTTAAAGATTACTCTATGGTTTAACCTAGAGCTTGTGGTTTTCTTACACAGTAGCCCTTCCGTAGGCTATAGCCCACAGAAGATCAGATCAGAGAAGAGAAAGATGCTCATCCAGCTTTTTAAACATTTCTGTGTCTTCTTTACATTCATGTGGCTATCTGCCTCTAAGTYTTAAGGAATGATGTTTTGGCAAAGGGACTTTGTGTTTTGCACCTCCGTTTCACCATTAGGACCTGGCAGAGTGGCTCCCCCAACTGCATCTGGAAGGGGTTGGAGGATTTATAAAAACAGCAGTCATGACCTTTGGGGAAACTGTAGAATAAATAGTTAAAGAGTTTTTAATTTACAAAGGGCCCTTGGCTAGGTCTTTTCCACAGTATCCATTTCAATTTTTTCTGCTTAAAATTGGTGGCTGCCTTTCAATTGTGTCARGGACCTACCATTCTCTGAGGAAGAATAGATGGTCTTCCTCCGAGCCTTTGTCACATTGATTCTGATGTGCTTGTGCTTGGACCTAGGTCGCACGATCATCTTCACAACCCACCACCTGGATGAAGCTGAGATGCTCAGTGACCGTGTGGCCGTCCTGCAGCAGGGGCGGCTCAAGTGCTGTGGTCCTCCTTTCTGCCTGACAGAGTCCTACGGCCAGGGACTCAGCCTGACACTCACAAAGCAAGTAAGGAGTACTGCTCTTTTGGTGTCATTGGAGAAGTTCCCTTCCTGTCTGTGGCATAAGGAACAAATTGTGACAGTCACTCGACAATAATACTTAAGTGGAGGCCTTTTGTGCACAATAGTCAGTTGCCAAAATATGTCCCTCCAGGGCTGAGCAGCAGTAGCTAGGCTCTGTGAACCCAAAGGTGCATTTTATCTGCTAGAAGGAAATGCACAAGGGCTCAGAATTACCTGACAGGTACTAGGAGCTGCTGCCGAGTATTCTAGAAACATTTTTTCTGACAGGGATACTCTAGGAGTCTAAACTTTGCCTCAAGTCAGAAGCAGAGTAGTAAGGAGCTATAGCAAATGTGGTAGGACTCGAGATATGCAGAAGCATCATTGTCTAATATCAACGGGGCAGGCCGAGGTGGTCGTGGAGTTGATCCAGGAGRTGTGGGATGTCACTGTCAGTTCTCAATGACTATGTCTGAACCTTGGTGACCTGCAGGAAGTCTGTCCTTGACCTCTGTTCTGTRGTTCCCATTTGCCTCCTCTCTAGCTTAGAGTATCTTGCCATCCTTGAGATGGCTTGTTTTCTTCTTCAGTTGGGAATCCTTGTCTCCCTCTTAAGAAGACTCAACCTTGTTTATTGCAATCCAATTGCTAGAACTTGAGTCTCCTTTGTGATTGTTCCATGGGATGGAGGGTGTCTCATGAACACAGACCCCTATAAATAGGCTGCAGTGCATGTAAGCAAGTTGGGCATGTGGGTCTGACCTTGCTAGGTTTATCATTGAGGATTTATATTATTATTATTACTACGACAACTACTACTGCTACTACTTGTGGTAATGGGGATTGATTTAACCTTGGACCTTGCACATACTAGGCAAGCACTCTATCACTGAGCTACAGCCCCAGCCTATTGATTTATATTTTTAACAAAGAAGAAACAAAGAAAAAATATTCTGTATTATTGAATGCCTACCACTTAAATACAGTATCCCATTCAAGTTTTGAAGTGGAATGTGTATAATTTGCTTATGAGTTTASAGGTAATTGACTGGTATGTGTTTGGATTGACGTTTCTTACTGATTTCTCACTCTGTTTTCTTTTTGATAGCCCTCTGTTCCTCAGGTCCATGATCCCGAGGACATAGCTTGTGTTACATCCCTGATACAGCTCTATGTACCACAAGCATTTCTCAAAGACAGCAGTGAGAGTGAGCTGACCTTTGCCATCCCAAAGGACGCAGGCAAGGCCTGCCTCGGGGAACTCTTCCAGACCCTGGATCAGAACTTAGAGCAATTGCACCTGATGGGATATGGAATCTCAGACACCACATTGGAGGAGGTACTAAGATATGTGGAAGCTTTTGTGGCCAGTCTGCATTCAATGAAGAGACCTGGGCAGAGGGAGGGGATGGAGAACATGGTGCATCTTTATTGGTGTCAAGCACAGTGGAAGCCTGTAACTGAATRTAGTCATCTGACAGGTGACTGTTATTGTAGGGATATAGTATTCCTGTGTGTGAGAACTTTTGTATCTTTAGTCAAGGGTCATTAAATATTTATTCAGTATCTTCAATAGTGAATGGTTGGCTGATTATAATTCATCACCTGGAAGTTCCTGCTTCCATACTGTGGATTTCTGTCTAGGAGCTGTGGCCTTAAACTGGGCGGACGGATCAATGCAGGAGAATCTAGTATGCAAACACTGCAGCRTCCTGGCCAGTTCCCCACCTGCAAGCATCCCTCCCTCTGTGCTGGGGTTGGGACCAACCATTGGATGTGATTTTTTTATAGCATCCAGCCAACAAGAGTCAGATAGTGGGATTTCCTCCAGGAGGAAGTTGGTGTGTTGTGCAGTCCAAACAAAAATAAACCTTGTGTACRGTCCTTGAGGTTGGGTCTGTATATGAGCCGAATTTGAGTTTGCATTTGACATTTCTATCAACTCTACAAAGTGCTGCAGATTAAAAAAAAAAAAAAAGTACTACAAACTACAATAAAACTTAATCTAAACAAAATTTTGGACCAGTTGCTCTACTTTATCAGATTCAGGAATAATAGTAGTATAGTAGTACCTGATAAGGTTTGTTTTTTTTTAAAAAAAATATTTATTTATTTATTATAATTAGGTATATATAACAGAATAATGCATTTTGATTCATTGTATACAGTTGCAGCACAATTTTTCATTTCTCTGGTTGTAAATCATATAGTGTCACACTATATTACAGTCATATATAACTAGGGTAATGGTGTCCATCTTATTCCATCATCTTTCCGGCCCTCATGTCCCCAATCCCTCCCCACCTTCCCCTTTACCAAAAGTTCTTCTATTTTTTCCATGTTTYCCCCCAACCTCTGTTATGGATCAGCATCCACTTATCAGAGAGAACATTCAGTCTTTGTTTACCTGCAAATGCCATAATTTTATTCTCTTTTAATGCTGAGTAATATTCCATTGTGTATATATATATATCACAGTTTCTTTATYCATTCATATATTGAATGGCATCTAGGTTGCTTCCACAGTTGAGCTATCGTGAATTAAGCTACCATAAACATTGATGTGGCTGTGTTACTRTAGTATGCTGATTTTAAGTTCTTTAGGTATAGACCAAGGATTGAGATAGCTGGATCAAATTGTGGTTCCATTCCAAGTTTTCTAAGGAATCTCTATACTGTTTTCCAGAGTTGTTGCACCAATTTGAAGTCCCACCAGCAATGTATAAATGTGCCATTTCCCCCACATCCTTGCCAACACTTATTGTTGTTTGTATTCTTGATAACTGTCATTCTGAATGGAGTGRGATGAAAGCTTAGAGTAGTTTTGATTTGCATTTCTGTAATTATTAGAGATATTGAACATTTTTTAAATATATCTGTTGATCCAATGTATGTTTTCTTCAGAGAAGTGTCTGTTCAGTTCCTTGGCCTATTTATTGATTGGRTTGTTTGTCTTTTTGGTGTTAAGTTTTTTGAGTTTTTTTATATGTCCTGGAGATTAGTGCTCTACCTGATGTGTGTGTGTATGGCAAAAATTTACTCCCAAATGGAGGCTCTTTCTTCACCTTATTGATTGTTTCTTTTGCAGAGAAGAAGCTTTGTAGTTTGAATCCATCCCATTTATTAATTCTTGGTTTTATTTCTTGTGTTTTAGGAGTCTTGTTAAGGAAGTCGGTGCCTAATTCAACATGATAAACTTTTGGATCTACTTTTTTTCTCTATTATGCACAGGGTCTCTGTACTAATTCCTAGGTCCTTGGTGAACTTTGAGTTGAGTTTTGTGCATGGTGGGAGATAGGGGTTTAGTTTCATTTTGTTTCATATGACTTTTCAGTTTTCCCAGCACCATTTGTTGAAGAGGCTATCTTTTCTTCAATGTATGTTTTTTGATGCCTTTGTTCTAGTATGAGATGACTGTATTTATGTGGGTTTGTCTCTGTGTCCCCTATTCTGTACCATTGGTCTACATGTCTATTTTGGTGCCAATACCATGTTATTTTTGTTACTATAGCTTTGTAGTATAGTATAAGTTCTGGTATTGTGATGCCTCCTGCTTCATTCTTCTTGCTAAGGATTGCTTTGGCTATTCTGAGTCTCTTATTTTTCCAAATGAATTTCATGATTGCCTTTTCTATTTCTACAAGGAATGATGATGGGATTTTAATTGAAATTGCATTGAATCTTTATAGTGCTTTGGGTAGTATGGCCATTTTGATAATATTAATTTTGCCTATTCAAGAGCTTGGGAGACCTTTCCATCTTCTAGGGTCTTCTTCAATTTCTTTCTTTAATGTTCTGTAGTTTTCATTGTAGAGGTCTTTCACCTCTTTGTTAATTCCCATGTATCTTATTTATTTAYTTATTTATTGAGGATATTGTGAATGGGGTAGTTTTCCTAATTTCTCTTTCAGAGGATTCATCACTGATGTATAGAAATGCATTTGATTTATGGGTATTGATTTTACTAATAAGGTTTTTGATTAGTAATTAATTAACACTGAGAGGCTAAACCAGTATCAGAAATTTTAAATAATTATGAGAATTAAAACAGTTCAATTTTCAGGATGTTAAAAGCTGAACATCATTTGTGTTTTATATGGATTTAGGGGATTACAGGCACATCACTAGGTTTGTGACCGAGGACACGAGGCAGCCCTTTGTGTGATCAAGGAGTGTACAACAGGCCCCCTTGTCTGTGAATTTGCTTTCCCAGGTTACAGTTACACATAATCAGCTGTGACCCAAAGAGAATATAGAAAAATAGAATATTTTGACAGGGAGAAAAATAGAACACATAACATATTGTAGTATGTAGTTATAACTGTTCTATTTTTTAATCATTGCTGTTAATCTTTTATTGTAACATTTCTAAGCTGACCTGTATCATAAGCATGTAGGTATATATTGAAAAAAAAACAGTGCATATAAGATTCCATATAATCCCTGGAGCTGGGCATCCACTGGGGACCTAGAAACATCCCTCATGAATGGGGGAAACCTATTGTAGTCCCAAGTAGAAAGCAGCCATCACACCTTTTGTGTAGAATACTCTAGTTATAGAAGACTATAAAACATAAAAGTATGTATAATATTATAATACACTTTTATACTTAGATCTGTTTTATTCCCTCAAAACTTGTAGCTGCTTATTTTTCCTCTTTTTAAGGTTGCAGAAATTGAGGCTCAAAGAGGCTAATTTTTCTTAACCCCAAATCACACTGTTCTAAGTGGTGGAGCTGCACTTGAACCTAGGCTTTCTACTAACGAGTTAAATTTTCTGAACATTCCTAGCTTTTGTGGGTGATGCTCTCTACTCTAAGGATCCTCAAAGTTGTACACTCATTCCCACTGCTTCCATTATGCTTTTTTTTTTTTTTGATAGAGCAAGTTGTGGCACACAGAGACAAACAAAAAGCAGCCTAATACACACACATGATATACCAAAGCTTGCAGAGCCATTGTGTCCTTTGGGTCATTGTTGCTGTGTCCTACTTTTGTTCCTCAAGTCTTGACACAAATGCTACCTCCACAAAATGCTGAAAGGCTGGACTCCCCAGCCTTAGCTGGATCCTATCCCCTCCCTCTCCTGCTGTAGCCCTGGTATGTTCTCTTGCCATCTCTGACTCTCCCATGGAAGTTGAGCTCTGGMTGTGCTCACTCTCACACTTGTGGTACCCAATGCAGTTCTTGGCACTTGTGGTTGCTTAACAAATACTTACTGAAGGAATGATGTGCAGGGCATTTCCAAAGACATATCTGGCTTCTGAGAGTAGTTATTGTCCCAAAAGCATAAGCTTTGRCCTAGACACTCCTAAATCCAGTTCTTTCTACCTCCTAGCTCTAGGGCCTTGGATGAATCACTCAGGTCTTGTGAGTGTTTTTTTTTTTTTTTATTTTTAAAATGGAAAAAAAAATCAAAACAGTTTAAATTGTTGTTCCAAAGATGAATAAAGATTTATACCTGGATGGTCAAAATGGTCAAAAATGTTAATGGTTCTTACCTATAATGGAGTGACATGTGAAATTGTTGCCATTAACTTTGGAGGGACAATGGAATTAAATCATACCTATTCTACAAAATACACCTTTATCTTCATGGGTTGTTGACAGATAGCAGTTTTCCCTGTGCCAAAGTAGAAGACCCAAGAATTTCCCAAGTCCCCTTTTCTCTGAACACTTGGATCAGGATAGGTGTGAAGTCCCCCATGGATATAAGTTTTCAGACCTGCAGCTCATTAAATGCTATACTTGCACATGAGTGTTAGCAGTTATCACTGCCTCTGAAGCATGCACAAAGTGGTAGCTTTCCCTTGCTGGGACCAATATACCTGACATGAGCAAATTAAAAGAAGACAGATTGGTTTTGGCTCATGTTTTTAGTCTGTGGTTGGCCAGCTCCATTGCTTTGRTTCTGAGAGGAAGCAGAACATCCAAAAAAATGAAGGGTGTAGTAGAGGAAAACTTCTAGGCTCATAGTGATCAGGAAAGTGTGCATGAGAGATAAAGAGGAGAGGGTGGAGACAGGTACACCTGGGACAAGATCCAGTCTCAAAGGGCACACCTCCAGTAAGCCATTTCCTCCAACTGTGCCCCACCTGCCTACAGTTTCCACCTCCTCTAGGCCATCCATTCAGCTATCAATGAACTAATAATTCTTTGATAGTTTCAGACCCTCATGATCCAATCATTTCCCCAAAGCCCCACCTCTAAATTTTGCTGCGTTACAGACCAGATCCAAACCATAACATAAAAAGACCAAATATTAGACCAGAAAGCTAGTAACTTAGTTGTGGATGTTAAACCAGCATGAGTCAGTTTCCCTGAGCCATAAAGAAATGC